CCATTACAAAAAGTTCAATCTTCCCAGGGTAAATAATAACTCCACATCCTGCTCGGAATGATCAGTAACCATGTAATGTATGGTTCAGCTTCGTTCTATAAGCTATACACATTCCTTGTTTAAAGACGTGCACGGACGTTGTTGAGGAGTAGATTTGATTGTAAGGCAGCGTTACAAATGCACATAACCAAACATATTTCTGCAGAACTTTTCGGAGGGTCACGGAATTCTATCCGTTGCTTTAGATGATACACACTTACTTCTAAAGTTACATGTGCTGTCACTAACTGTCACTACTGTACTTACGTAACGTAACTGACAGTACGTTAGTACAGTAGTGACAGTAGTAGTGACAGTAGTAAGTGACAGTACGTAACTGTCACTTACGTACTGTCACTTACTGGCATTGTATTACATCCCTATGCGTTTTAGAGAACTGTTAAGTGTTCCGATTACAAACACGACATTTGTTTTGGCAGCAAAGTCCTGTCGCGCCTCACGTAATCCACCAGTTTGGTTAAGAACTTACATCCAGGAAAAGTTCAGTGCTCGGAACACAGAGACAATCCACTTTTTACTCGGTAGTTGGGTCAAATTCGCCACTAAGTCAGCGCTACATGAGTCAAATATCAAAAATCAGTTCCGTATTCGCGATCAGAGCACTGAAAAATCCCTACATGTCCAGACGCCAAAGGTTAAGCTTAGATTCAAGTATAGAACAGGTCTTACAGATAGAATTCATCTTTTACTCCCTATGACTGTAACAGTTGAATGGTGCCTAAGCATCGAAGTTGCCCAGCATACACAAGAAAACATGAGAAAATTTGTAGCTGGATTCATGAATACATGGACTCACATCTTTCTCACAGTTCATACATAAAGACTCAATTTCCACGGGAGCAAATTCAGGATTGTCCACGGAAAGGGCAGCAGCGATCTGCAAAATGTTCCTTGTCCCTAACAAGGCTCCCTAACACCAGTACACAAAACAAACTTACGTCTTCTGCATTTCCTGCCATATCTATCTTATACAATTAGATAAGAGAGGATTAAAAAACTGTTCAATTACTCTTGCGGAGTACACTTCTGTAAACCAAGAAGAACATTAATACAGCGCTTTCTTCCTCCTCCAAATGAGACTCTCTTCTATGATTTCAAATTTCTCAATATCCAATTTATTCGTATTTGAAAAATATCCTTATGGTAAATAACTGAATCGCAGAACAAGAGCACATTTGAAATAAATACGTTTATTTCCCACGACGGCAACGAAACGTGATGAGAAGGGAAGCAACAACAGTTGAAGATCGCAGTTCTGAGAGAACTAAAACTTGAAATCCTTATATTTTTTGCTCTGATGGGTTTGCTTCTTCTGTTCCTGTGCTTTTCTCTTCCGCTGAAAAACAATTGTGAGACCTACATACATACTTACATACCCTGGATAAGAAAAACTCACGTTCTGCCCAGCCGCGTGTTCCGCCACCATATCCGACAGGTCTTCTCGGTCGTCACCTCTAGTCTAAAATGCAGTTATGAAACCTCCAGAAAAACAACCTCCCTATAAAATGATAAAAACACTGAAGCACATTAACCATTCATTCTTTTTTCGTTTTACGAGATTTATGAAAAATTGTGAGTTATGAGCTTTATTTTTTATTGATAAGTGTGTAACATTTTAGGAAATAATATTTTGGGCAAAGAAGGCAAGAATTCGAGTTACCTGTTTTCTCAGTTGCTCGTCGTACTTCTCTTGCAACTTCCCTTGATCCAAGTCAATTGCATCAGGGTCAAGAGAAACCTCTACACCGCCATCGGAAACACCAACTTTCTTCTAAACAATGAGTATCTCAAACTCGTGAGGGAACGATACTTACATTAAACATACCGATAAGTCGTACACGTGAGTTGATGCCATCATTTGTCCACCAACGCGGTCTACCCGCTTCTCAGGAATTATGTGGTAAGCCGCTGCAGGAGTGTCTGCACCAGCCAGACTGCAATTCGCTTGATCTTTACATCTGCTCATGCTTTTTTGATCAACTATCTACCTCTCTTCAACACGCCTTCCTTTTCGCAGTTCAATAGTGTCAGGCGTTTCCAATCCCGTAACACCAGTGGTGATACCGCTTGGAGTAGCCATTCCTTCCGTCATAGGTGTGGCAATACCATCTTTATAAAATGAACTCTGAGAGGATAACAGCAAATAGAGAAAAAATCAAATACCTATGTCAGCTTCTTCCTCTTCTTCAGGTTCACTTTCTTCATCGGAGTCGTCGTCCGAACCTATTTCGCCCCAATATCGTCGTTCAATACGTGTTTCGTCCTCAGGTTCCACTTGACTTGTGGGCTGACAAGCAGAGAAATTAGCACGACGAAAATGAAGTATAGCTTATAAGAAAGCAAGCCCGTCAGTACGAAGTCACCAAAGAAAGACAGGAAAAAGCTCATAAAATTAGTGGATCATGCAGATTTCATCACGAGAAGAGCAGAATGCTTGAGGGTTACAACCCACTTCAGACCCCTATGCGTATAAGGAGACATTCGCATGACGACTATGGAGTGTGTAAAACATGGACCGTAGTGGGCAATCGAAGGTAGGGATAATAACCAGATACCAGCTATGAACGCTGAAGAGAACTGAATGGATAATAAAAGTTATGGAGAAGGATTTGAAATTGGGGATCAAGAAGAAAATTCTCAATTACTAAACTAGAGGACGCTGATGGAATTTAGCAAGAAGCCACGAAATTGTTGAAATAATTGTACGACAAGGTTTTTCGAAGCCACGAGTGAAGAAAGAGTATTTACGCCTGACAGGCTCTGTTAAAGAACCACCAGAGAAGTACCGAAAATGCTAAGGTAACGTAAAATGTCTAACATGAGAAGCTTTGTAAAGTGCCTACCTCTTGTCCAAACACATCACCATATAAGGGCTTGCCGTAGTCATCAACTGGTGGCTTTCCCCATCCTCCTGCGTGATATCCGAATGCGCATCCCTCAGGGATGGGAGCATTCAATCCAGCAATACGAATGTTCGGATAACTTGGAGGGGGACCATAACGCTGCATCGCAATCAGCCATGGTGGAGGGAACTTGTGAGCGTTCTGAAGATGGGAAGTGTATTTATGACAAAAAAAACTATGTTGATAAACAAAGCAGAAACAGACCGGTCCAACTGGCATTCCAAGAGCAATCCTGAGTTCATCAGAAAGATTTCCCGGCTTTTTGTCTTTCATCAATGTCTCCACTTCCTGCAAAACATGCTTTGATCAATGCTTCGATATTATTAACCAGTAACACTAATATTACCTTTCCTTCGTAATACAATTCCCCCATCATGGTCATCGGAGGCTTCGTTTGCCATTTGAAGAAGGCATCGTGCAGTTTCTGATAGTCTATGTCAATTTTTCCCAGCTTCGGGCGAGCACGCTCTCGCATTTTGGATTTAAGATTCTGATTTTCTTCCTAAAATGTTTAAATAATAAGTTCCATCAAAACCATGCGAACGTGAAAGAATCCACCTTTTCCCATAGGGCTTCACGCATATCTTGAATTCCAGTACGTTTGATGAAATCTGGTAGTTCAAAAGGAGGACGTTCAAACCCGCGTTTTCCAGAAAGGTATCTAAACAGCTCGTATGTTATTCGTTCGGAAAGCATAAGTTATAACTACTAAATACTGCAATACGCAATTGCACTTACTTTCTTTTAGCGTTCCAATGACGGGGAACCGGCACAGTATTGCGATAGGATTTCAGCGCAACAAGTATAAATGGATCCCTTGACGTTACATCTGCCCATTCAACGACGTCAGGACGGCGGGTAGACTGAAAGATCAAACCGTATGTATTTCATAAAAACCATACTTGGATATATCTATTCAGAATACATGTTCTCACAATGAAGGACGCCAATGAAAGAAGAAAGAGTGGAAGTAAGTCGTAGATAAAGAAGGGGGACTGACCTCCTTTAATTTCGCAATACTCGGTTGCATGGCCAAACGGAGCTTTCTCCTCGACATTTTTTCAGGATCATTAGGATCATTCAACTTATCCTGAAAATTTCAATAGTATTTCGTGAATTTTGAGTAGCTTGAAAATATGGAATTACATTAATTTCTTCTTGTAAAATTTTCTCAGATATGGATGCGCGATTGTTTTCTTCATCCTTTTTGTGGTCCTTTCCAGAAGAAACAGCTCCATCTTCACCCTCAGTGCCATCTGGGTTTCGGTTCAATCTTAACGGGAAGATAAATTCATTAACGATGCGTAGAAATCCGCTTCGCAGACGAAGAACATCGTAACATAGTGCATCCTGTTTACCTTAAAAGCATTGAAAATTGCATTGAAATACTGGTAATTGGGATCATTCTCGTCCAATTTTGGTGCTTCCCCGACATAGTCGATCTCCACTTCCAGAGTCTCCGCCTTGAATATTAGTCATCAAATGTGTAGAAAAACGACAAGAAAAAAAAAGCAACAGATCCTGTATCAAGATAATGGGGAGGACTTGAAATAGTACAAAGAGCTTTGAGCTAACACCAATTCATATGTTGGCTTTGCTTGATATTATACCATTTCCAATTGAAAATTAACACCTTTCCCAGCGATGCCGACGTTTTTGAGAATTTTGTGGACATTCGTTAATTCGACGGGAGTTTCTTTCAAACTACTCAGAACATTTTTTCAATTGAATTCTTTTCAATAGACCATGGCAAATTTTCAATTCAATTTGGATTTTATTTGAATGACCGTCGGCTTTTCAATACAAATAAATTTTTGAATTATTGCCAATCATGAGAATGTTGTTCTTTGGAGACAGAACATTCTCGAAAACCCACAAAATAATACATTTTCGAGTAAAACGCATGCAAGTTTGTCTACAATGAAACAAAAAAAAACAAAGTCAAGTACTTAAAAGGTTTGCATAACAAAAGGGATTCTCTAAAGGATGTTTCCTGCAGAAGGCCTGCTGACACAAACTTATATAGAGCTAGGTTTCATTTTAAGGACAGTCCATCCGCCGATATTTACCCTTATCA